CTGTTGAAACTGATCAGCGGCTGATTCCAGGAAGCCGGGGGCAGAGCAACTCTGCCTAGGGCTTCCTGTAGTCAGCCACTGATCAGTTTCAGCAGCAGCTGAATCTGGAGCCAGTTCCGACTTACATACAAATTCAACTTAAGAACAAACCTATAGTCCCTATCTTGTACGTAACCCAGGGACTGCCTGTAATGATTCCTGCAAGACAAAGAGTACCTACACATCTTCTTTAGACCCATGCTGTATTAATCCAGGAAATGACTCCAACAGCCATAGGAAATGCACTCTGGACCCTAATGGTCATAAGAATGGTCAATCAAGTTTGAACTTAGGACTTGGAGTCACATACAAATTCTACCATTTGAGCTAAAAGAGTAACTGGTAGTAGTACTAGGCATCTTTTATATGTATCAGCATGTATATGTAGTACACCTTTTATATGTATCAGCACTTTAAAAGGGACCCAACATAAACTATACCATTGAGTTACACAATAAAATGCTGGGTTCTGGCTTCCTGAGACCTTTTTCTAGCTCTGAGAAAAAAGATGGGACAGTAGTCTAATCTGTGATTATGGTAGAAGCAGCACTGCCAAGCATATTTTGCACCTTTTTTTTTTTTTTTGCGACATACCACTACTAATGGGATAAGACTGAGACCAGTAAAGGACTGTTAAAGAAAATCCATTTAAGATACGCAATGCCAGCTCTGACAATTGTGTAGCTTGGGTTGATGTACCTTACATCGATTTTCTGGGGTTGCCCCACAACAGGAGGTTGATGTGAGAGTTTCTCCCATCTACTTCCCTTACTCCTTGTGACCACTATGGATGGGGCACCCTCAGCATTCAATTTAGCAGGTCCTAACCAGATAGATCACTGGAGCATCGATCTTCTGGTAAGTATAGACAAGCCTTTAGGCACATCATATTAGAGACTTGGTTTTACTCCCAAATAAGAGTGTAATACAGTTTTAGTATTAGGATTGCAAAAATACTAACAACAGTCTACAGAAGAGCTGAGTCTACACATCATCATCTCCTGGATACAGGCCAGTATTTTTATAAAGAGGTCCCTTTCTCTGTCTGTCTCTATCTCCAATATTTTTAATATATATTTTACTTCTAAGAGACAAGTCCCTTCAATTTTTAAGTTTTACTATTTCTCCAAAGAAGAAATTGAATTTAAATGAGGGCTCAAAATTTTAGCATTTTCTTGAGATAGAATTAGAGGTAGAAGAAACATTAAGAGACAGAAATGGATGGGACAGTAAATCAGTATCTTAGATCTGCCAATCCTTTGAGATAACTCAATGCTAATTTTGATTGTAAAATGGAAATGATTGTATTTCCAATTATACAGCTAAATATAAACAATTACGCAGTTACTTTTTAGTGCTGGTTTCAATCTGAGAATTCTGTATTCAGTACAATGTACTGTACTTATGCACAAAATCAATAGGACACAAACTTACCTGTTCTGTAGCAGAGCATTTTCCTGAAGTTGTATTTCATGTACACCTTTTCCACATCCAGATATTTCAATTCTTCCCACAGGGCTGTTCAGTATTACATGCATCTTCTTACACTGAGATTTTCCATCTTTTAAAGAAACCTGTTCACAAGGGAATAATAAATTTGTAAATTGTGTGAATATTTTCCCTAAGGAGACTGCATCTCAACAATTTGTAACTTTAAGCATATTTTGTGCAGTTTTGCAAAAATAATTTCTTTTAGGGAGAAAAAGCCTAATGTAAACCAAAAAAATCAAGAATACATACTACTTAAATTTACTCAAATTATATGCTCTATTTTTATAATTCACAGTACACCTGAGTAATGTGGCATTCAGTCTGTTTTGAAAAGCCAACATTAAATAACATTTGCATTAAAATAATAAAAAAAGTTAAGCAACTAAGCACTGACCTTTACCAAAAAAAAAAAAATCACATGAAATAGCAATTTTATAGTTGATTTGTTAGTGAACACCTAAAGAAAAAGTTTTTTTTATATTGATTTCAAAGAGATTATTATGACAATAAAGTATATTCACTGGTTTACAGTAGCAATATTATGTGAATAATAACTGCAGAAGCACATATGGAATGGCTGTGCTGGAAAATCAATCACTGTTTAGTAAAGGAAACATATTTTTTATTCTTATCATTAACAGTCAACTTTATACGGCTACCAATAGAATGTACTTCCAAATAGGTGGCAAACATTTCTCAGTTTTCTTCAGGGCCAACAGTAACGTTATACATTTCCTCTATGTCATTTGTTTAGTCACAAAAATATTTGAATCAATATATATTTAAAGTTTACTATTTATATTTTAGTATTTAACTCATTAGACATAAGTATTATAGTGCCATGGATTATTATTAATAGTTATTCTGGCCAAGGTATAGGCCCCTACTTGTAGTAGGCATTGTACCTACACAGAACAACTTTAGACGATCTTTGCCTCAAACACCTTGCAACCTAAGTATGACAAGAATGAGATAAGATTGACACCAAAAAACAGGTAGGTATAAGAGACAGGAAAAACATGAGGAAATAAGACAAAACTGATCAGAGTGATGAGCCCTGGGCTTTTTTGTGCCTTTGTTCAAAGTACTTAAAACAGCAATGAGAGGAAAGTGTGATGTAGCTACCTGGAAAAAAAAGTGAAGCAAAGTAAGACTAAAATAACGACAGATACTGAAATGTAATGGCAAGCATAAACATATATATGAATATGCTTCTATTAACAAACTCACACAGACACATGTACACTATTGCATATATATGAATATGCTTCTATTAAACTCACACAGACACATGTACACTATTTTGGTTTAAACACATAAAGATAAGGATACACCTAAACACCATTCACACTTCATTAGTCAGCTCCCTGAAAATCATAAGGCTGTCTTGAAAATTCTGATTAAAAACACTGAGGTTCTTTTTACTTGACTTCTGGCCTTTGAACCTCTGATGTTCAGATGTCCAAAATTTGCTGTGCAACTATGAGAGCTACAACTATAACGGGCTTTTTTTTTTTTTAATGAAAGCCGAGAGTCTCATGTAATCTCAGTGCTCAGACAATGCTTTTCCTTCAAGTCCCAACTTTTTATCATAAGATTGGGCAACACTGGGACCTGTGCCTGTCACATTTTCCCCAACAACATAAGGAGTATAATGGAATGAAGCTCTGCTCTGCTATACCTGTACTCCATTAACATAAGATTCAGTAAGGACCTTAAGCCAATGACAGAAGTTAGCGATGCCTTCCAACACCCCTGGGTCTGGGATTGGCACCAAGAATTAGGGAGCCAGAACTAGCTCCCTGCTACCTTCCCCTCTCATATGTGCTAAGCAGAGTCACGATTCAGAGAAAATCTGCCCCGCAGTATTCAGTTTGAGGCAGTTTAATACCAAGACATGTTGAAAATCTTAAGACACCTTACATCACACCAACACTGAGAAAACAAGCAAGGAGTAGGAGAATCTTGTGAAGGAAAGTCTATGAAAATGGAGATAGTTAGAAAAACTGTTAAGGAGAGGGAAGAAGACATAGCTCTCAAGAAACAGTTGAGGCATACAACAAATACAATGAAAATCAAACACTATAACGTAACAAAGAGGTAAGGAAATTAAAATTATCCTAAAAGTCACATTTACTAGACTATCAAAAGGGGATTTCACCATTTCCATTAACTGAGTCATTTAAAATTGGACATTACAAAGGAATTATTTATTATTTTTGCAGCACCTAATGTGTGCTAGACAACAGAAGGAATTCTATGGGGACGGCAGAACAATTAGATTTACGTAAAGATGTTTTACATTTCTATTTTCAATTATATCAAAATTTCCTAACATGCTCTACTGCAAGTGATCCATGGCTTTTGTTATTTTCCTAATCTCATTAATCCATCAAAAAAATTATCATGACAGTCCACACAACAGATGTGATATAAGATGTTATTCTCTTTCTCAGCTATACAAATAAAAAAAACACACCTTTGTCAAAATTCTACACTAATATTTAATGAAAAAGCGAACATGTATCTGTATAATTATAATGCTAGAAAACAATAAAAAGTACACTGTATAACAAAAGTGAATCAGAGGAATAAATTCTCTGAATTCTGGCTCCTGCTGCAGAACTCAGAACTCTAGTTTGGAACCATCCTACAGTTTGCGTAAGTGGATTTCATAGTGATTACTCAACAGTCAAAATTTTGAACATTTAAATGATTACATAAATATGTGGAATACCCTGAAGGGCTTTTCTCTTGGCTTCTTGCTTTCTGACAATTATGAAGCCAATGCAATATGTCCAGTGTATAATGGCAAATGTATTCACATACTGATCCACAGCCTTGCAGAAAGGCTCTTCCGCATCAAGCAATACTTCTCTGCAAAATCATACAAGTCTAATCTAGAATGAGTTTACCCTAAACTAGGAGATGGCTGATTTGAATTGGGTGCTGAAAGGAAATTGATTTTCATGGCTATTTAGAGATCTATTGAAAAATGAAAAATACTGCATCATCCTCCTTTTAACATGAATAGGTATTTAAATAATAATGTTCTGAATTAACTCCTTAGTGGTGGAAGCTGGTATTCCCTTTTTCCAATACCAAGAGAAGAAATTCTAGGAGTTTTCTTCATTACAGCATAAGAATATTCTGATTTCTACGTCCATGTGGTTAGATTAAGTAATTGACAATTCTTGCTGGGTTAAATTTGTTCATTCCCCCTTATTCTTCTTCTCCCATTACCAACTAAAACCACAACATCCAAGATCAGATAGCACAGTATTTAGCTTCCTCCTTCCCCTTTTTTTGCTCCTTGCTCCTAGTAGTCAAATATTTGTGTCTGTCCACTGCTATTGCCCTACTTCTTGTTATTGGCCTAGAGAGTTAAAAACATCCCTAGCTTGTCCTGTTACTTCAGCAATGAGTTTCAAAACAGTCAAAAACAGTATAACAAGTTTTGATTTAAAAAATTAAATCTACGTATTATGAATCTAAAACAAAGATATGATTGAATTTTAATAAGTGCATGACAAGACAAGCACTGTCATCTGATAAATTACAAAGTAAATAACTCAATGTCATGCCAAAGAGTCTTATCAAAATCATAGCATTAACATGCTATTAACCTGCAAATTACTATAAGGTTCATAGCATTTCCACTATGCAACCTAATTTCAGCTGCCTAACAAAAATAATGTATTTTTGAACGAATAAAAGTCATCCATGTTAGCCTAATATCAAATTTGGCAAAAACATGAACAAAATTAGCTCACTGTTGCTTTAGTTAGAAAACTGCCAATCTCACACTAGAAATCATCATGTTTAAAGATTAATTTAAGGATGTGAAGTATCGGGTAATTGACTAATTGAATAGTCGATGCATTTTGCATGAACTAGAGTCATAGAGCTGGAAGAGACCTCAGGATGTCGTCAAGTCCATCCCTGTGCCCAAGGCAGGACCAATCCCAAGTATTCAATTAGGTGATAGGGCGCCTTTGCCTTTGAAATGTAGTAACAGATCTAAGGCTGTTACTACACTTCAAAGGCAAAGGCGCCTCCTAGAGCCCAGGATCAGCTGAGGACTCCCCTGCTGACTCCAGGCTCCGTGAGGCTCTGCCAATTTGAAATGCTGTGAAGAGCCTGACGCTGGGCTCCTCGTGGCGTTTCAAAGCAGCAGCAGCGCATGAAGCCCGGGGTCAGCTGGGGAGCCACACGCTACCTGGGGTCACTGCATGCAGCCTGAGGACACCCCAGCTGGCCCCGGGCTACACACAGCTTTTCAAAGCAGTAGCGCTGTGTGGAGCCCAGGGTCTGGCCCCAAGCTTCAAGCAGGGCTGCCACTTCAAGCGGGGCTGCCCTTTTCTTCCCCCCCTTGCTGCCTCTATTTGATAGAAGCAACAAGGGGGGGAGGGGAGTGACTAGTCAACTATCCTATTGACTATCCAATAAGCATATGCCTATCAAATAGTCAACTAGTCCTTCATATCCCTAGATTAATTTTGCACTTGGAATTCAGAACCAGAATTTGTAGTAGATATTCAGATACAGTTGAGCAGTCATATCTACCATCCTTTTATCTCTGATCCCTAGAGGTGCTTGGTACAGCCCAACTGCAATTTAGAGCAACCCTAAGGCTACTCCAAAGTTAAGTGGCTTTGAAAGAACTCTTGGGGGGGGAGGGAAGTATTTTATTGGTAGAGGCTACTGATGGAAAGCATTACCAAACATGTGCTCTCCTACCCCAAAAACAACCTATACAGTAGGGCAGCTGATATGGAGCTGGCTGCATGAACTTTATCCTTATCAAGGATTAGCTCTATACTTTGTCTCTGGTTAGGAGATCCCCACATGGACAACACAAACCTGTAGGACACAGCACAAAAGGATAATCCAGGCTTGAGGATCTGGTTCTGTTTAAATAAAAATCAAATGTTTTGTAGACCACTTATTTATAAAACAAGGAAGTCAAATATGCATTTGGCAATTGCATTCTGTGCAGGGACAATTTTTCAAAACTGTAAAAGCTATTTAGGAGACTGCATCAATAAGAAAGTGAACAGGATTTAGACACACTTGAAAATGA